TGGTATGATGGTATGATGTCATGTTATGCGTGGGGTGATATAAGTAACCCTGTTATGAGTCCATATTAAGGATCATAAACAAAACCTGCAAGAAGCTCAAGTGTTAGGTAACAGGAATGTGCAAGTAGTCCAAGTTTAAAGGCACACAAGTCACACAAGAGAGCCCTTAGAGTTTAGGCCAGCATGGGGTCTAGGTATTACCCTCTTTCAGTTTGTTGGTTAAGACCTGTCCTATCAGAAGTAACCGGGTTCTAGAGGATCCCAATATCATTGACTACCCTCAATCGGTCATAACTCCAGCATCGCAATCTTTTCTTGTGGCCAGAACCATCACGAGAGTTTAGCCTCAATGGGCGTAGCATACTGCTACTGTTCTAATGGCCAAGTTGTGTCATTTAAGGTTTTAAGGTCTGTTGATGCTTAATGACTCCTCAGAAGACCCATATTCTCCTTGTTGCGACACAAGGGATATCGGTACAGACCAAGGTTCCACACCAACGTAGCCACTGCTTCACCCATGTCGGTCTACGCCGGACAGGTCCCTCACAGATTATGCTACCTAAACAGGGTATCCCCAGATCCGGGTTAGGATCTATGTAACTCCGATGCAACCCACAATTTTAAAGCAAACAAGTCAATACAATTGAAAACACATTTATGAACTACCCTAAGGTACACCTCACTTTAAGTTTAGATCCCCAGCAGAGTCGTCAGTTTTGTGATCGGTGGATCTGGAACTGACTGTTTAAAGCTGGATCGCGTATGCCGCGGTAAGCAAGAGTCGCCACCGTCTTTTATTTTCTCCAAATGGAAAGGACAAAAGCACAGAAAAATTCCTTATAGAGATTGCTCTCGGTTCGGGAGGTAGATTATAGAAAGGGAAGGTGTTAGCACCCTTTCTATCCATGGTTATCCATGGGCTCTTAGATACTTGCTCACTTGTGTTTTCAAAATTGTTTGTTTGCTTTTCAACTGTGGGTTTTAAAAAGTCTCTTTGAAAATTTCAGTTCGACTCTTGTATCGGTCCTCAAGAGTGTTTGAAAAGTTGCTTTCGAAAGCTTTTTGAAAAAGGTGTCGGTGTGAAAAGTATTTTTGATTTGTTTTGAAATTAGAGCAAGTATCTAGAGTCGTCCACCTACCCTAAGGAATTCGTCTGTGTAAATGTCCTTTAAAGTAGTGCCATCCCACCATTGAGAGGTAGGTAGCACCACCGTTGGAGGTGTTCGGGTCAATTCGAGGTTCGGGACATGGTGATCACCGGAGCAATAGGAAGACACCTTAGAAGCTACCCTCATGCCAGGTTCCTGGATCATGAGGACTAACTAAAACATCCTCTACTCGACGATCACCTTTCGAGAGGCAAGGCAACAGTGAGGCGTACCCTAGGGGTGGTGTGTGATTTGTGTGTCGTTTTCAGATATTTTGTCTTGTTCATGTCATGGGTGATCTACGCATTGCTTTTATTTTAACATTCATTCTTGCATGCAAATTTATTAACAGTTAAAGAGATGCGGAAATTAAAAGTTCTACGCTATTACAGAGGCGCGGGTCCACATCGCCAAATTTAATCCAGGACCCGATTTGAAAATAAAATAAAGTAATGTGCGAGAAATATAAATGTCGAATTTACATAGCTTTGGGAGAATTACATAAAAATTATAAGAAAGGAAATAAGTGTGCGAATTGGAATTACTATCGAATGCGAGGGCGTTGGACCCTTTTTAACGAAATTAAATTGTGATTAACAAATTAATTAAATTAAAATAAAAAGAAAAGAAAAGATTTTTGGAGTTTTTTGTATTTATGGATTTTTAATGAGAAGATTAAATGAAATTAAAAAGAATTAATTAACCCTAATCCTAACTATTTTTATTATTTAAAAAAATGTGAAAATTAAATCTAAAGTTAACCTGATTAATTAATTCAATTTTATTTACAAAAATAATAATTAATAATTAATATGGTGAAAAAGGCAAAAGGATAAAAATAATCAAAACCCTAATTCTACAATTTTTAAGTTTATTAAGAAAATATTAAAATTAATCCTAGAATTTAAAAACTAAATTAATTAACAAGATTTTATTTACAAAATAACATTTAAATAAAATATTTTTATAATTTGTGACTTTCTGATTTTTTTATTTATATTTTTTTTTATGTTTTGTGAAATTAATTTTTAATGAATTAAAAGAAAACAATTGAATTAAAACAAATAATAAAGTAAATAGAAAAAAGAAAAGAAATACAATACATTAGGGGGGTTCTGCCCCAAATTTGGAGGTATGGTCCAGCAATTCTGGCCCAATAGACCCTTGGCCTTGTTGACTTTTCATGCTGGTGTGTGGCTTCGTTGACCAACGCACATGGTGCTCTTCAAACATTGGCCTTTGGATTAGGATTATGGGACAAGTGGCGTGCCTGGATTGTGGACGTATGATAGGCCTTTGGATTGAATCTGCATGGAATCATATAGAGGCAAAATATATTAAGAGAGTGAGGGGACCTGGGAATCGAACCCAGGTCCCAGTGGTTATAGGACAACGCACTAACCAACCATGCCATTTGCTTTCTTTGTAATACTAACGAAAAATAAATAATATATAAAACAAAACGCGCTGATGATGTTAATTCAAAAAAAACGCGCTAAACTTGAATGGACCAATGGCGTTGGGACAGCATGCCTTCTTCTTCGTTGGTTTGTATTTTCCTGAAACACATAAAACAAGATTGCGGGGGTTTTAAACCCCCACTATATGATATATGCAAAAATAGCGAATAGGCCGTCTTTGATCAGAAATTAGGCGCGATAGGATGGTTGGATTCGTGTGAAGTTTCTCGTTCCAATGGTACAAGTCTTGTGTCTCAATTTTTCCATAGCAGAGAAACCCTAAATTTGAACCTCTGCAACCCTAAAATACTCCAATGGTGGATTCTCGTATGATGCACGAAAACTCAATTAAAATATATGGTTAGCTTTAGAATGAATCAATTAGTATAAATCAACAAAGAAAATGCATTGAGGATGCTTAAAAATTGAAACACGAATATGCATAAGGTGTGAGAAACTTTGAGTTCTATGTACCAATTCTGGATGCTATGGACGTGGAAAAGTATCCAGTCAGATTCAGTAATGCCTTAGGAAGCTTTTGGGATCAATATTTTCCTTTGAATCGTCCTCCAAGGCAGTTTTCAGTTTTTGATTTTTTTGATAAAATTGCAAAAGTTGTTCTTGAGATGGGGCGCAGCTTTCTGGTTTTTTGGCATTAGGTTTTGATCACACTTATATGAGGATGGATTAGGGTTGAGTTTTTGATCCAAAAAATCCTTGCATTGATGAGAACAATATTTGATTTTCATGCATAATTCTTCAAATCTTTTTCACATGTTTTGATACCAATTATGTCCAAATCACCTTGATTCTTTCCATATCAGATAATGCACGAAATCTTGAAGATATTTCATGCATAAAAAGATTTGAAAAGCTTGCTTTGGTATTTTTCACATATTTTATTTTATTAAATGAATTAATAGCAATTTAAAAATTCAAATAAATAAATAAAAATGATGAATAAATTACCTTTGGGCCAAATGGTCGTGCACATGCTTTGGATGATAAATCTTGGAAGAAAAAGAGGCCCATTAGCAATTTTAAGGCATTTGAAGCAAAGTTGACTTTTCAAAATACCCAAAAATTTCCCAACTTCCACAAGGCATATCTTGCTCAATTTTTAAGCTTTGATCATGTTCTTGGACATTTTGGAAAGGTCTTGAAGTCCTCTAACCAATTCCTTTGGTCCCATGTCATTTTGATTTACCAATCTCAAGTTATGGTCTTTGACTTAAAGTCCCTTTTTGTTGACTTTTGAAAATGACCTATAATGTTGAAATTGATAACTTTTTGTGAGAGTATTTCTTGGACTTGAAGTGTGAAGATGAGTTGTAGGAAATGTATTTCTCTTCAAAATTATCTTTGGATGGAATTTTTCTGATAAACCATGTGGAAGTTATGCCTTGGTCAAGTTACAGTTGACTTTTTTCAACTGTCCAAATATGGAAACTTTTGCATCTTGAGACTTTTTGAGCCAAGCTTTGAAAATCATGATCAAGAATTGATCAAATGATGTTTGTGGCTTCAAAATGAGATGTTGACCAAAAATTTGAACTTTTGACTGTCAAATGACCATTTTGCCCCTGCAGTTGACTGTAGTGCAATTAGGGCTTTTGACTGTACAATTTTGTGCTGTAAGTCTTGAAACTTGGCATGAGGATGCTTGACCATGTTTATAGGCATGTGGGACTTGATTGGACCCTTGGAAACTTCAATTACTTTGCCAGAACCAAAACCCTAGTTTTTGACTGTTAGGAGGCCCTTGAACTGTGCAACGCTTGGGGAGATTTTGAAGCATTATCTTGGCAAATCTTGAAGAATACGGGAGGGAAAATTTTGGGGTACAAAAAGAAGTACAAGGGTAGTAGCGGAGGCTACCAAAGCAAGTAAGTCGTCAAGAGAAGACGAAAGCACTGAAAAAGCAGGGAGTACGCGTCGAGCAAGCTTCACCAAGAAACAAACAAAGTCAGAAACAATATCCAATTAAGATAAAGGCAAACGCTTGTCGCGAATGCTACGCATAATCGAAAATTCTGTTAAACCATTGATCATGCCAAGGGAATTGAATCGAGGATACGGGATCGACAAAAAAACGCATTAAAACCCTGATTCTAAACATATGACAAGCATTAGCTCGATTAATTCCTAAACTAATAATAATAAAAATAATTATGGAAAAAATATCACCAAGTCAGAAATCAACATGTTAATATCCACACAAAATTTCAGTCAAAACTTGTAAGGGGAAATATCAGAATTAATTGTTTTACAAAAAAAAATTTAAAAGAAACTAAGAATTCGCTGTGAGGTGTAGTGAACTGGAAAATGGTGTAGATGGAGTGGGATGCTGAGCCCAATTTGCTAAGCCTTTTTTGTTCATCTTTCTCCAGCCATGCCAAAAAACAGATATCAGGATTTTTATACAATAATGGCCCAAAATATAACCTATCCAGATCCACCAATTAACATGGTTCTTTTTATAAAACTTAAAGAGAGTGAATCTGAAATTGATACGATGCGTTTTGGCTTTAAGGGCGTTGTGTCTTTCCATCTTCCCTTCAACATTCTCGCACTTCCTTCTCTCTTTTCTCTATTGAGACCACGGTGTGATTCTACCGCCGCCATTACCACCATAACATACCTCAAACCATCCATAATCTCACTCGGATTGCATCCTGACCTCAATCATCATATCAATCTCTCGCGAAAATTCAAGACCAGGCCGGATCTATGAAGTACCTTCAGAACCCTAAATCTATAGAATTCATGGATTTACGTTGAGAACATCGAGATTTAAAGTTTATACCCTAAAATCACCTTAATCACCATGAATGTATGCTAAACCGCAAGAGAATCACTAGAAAGATCTGAATAAAAGTAACGAATCTTGATTCGATGATGAAATCTATGACCACCGTGGATAAGGTATTTTCTGCATCTTTCACTCGTTCCTCCCTAACCGCCTTCTTCCATTTCTTCTCCGATTAAGTGCTTTATGCGCTTCTATTATAGTTTTGATGCGTTATGTGTAATCGATGATTTGTTGTTTGTAGGAAATTCCATTGCAACGAGACCTGTTGAAAACGTGATGAAGATGAAGCTATTGCAAATATCGTGCAATGAATATGACGATGGTTATTTTCAAAGTTCAAGATGATGTCAAGATGATGATGGAGCTTGAAGAGAAAAGTGAAGAAGATTGAAGAATTTGCGATTATGGATATGTTGCAGTGAGAAGAACCATTATCAAATTGGTAAATATTGATGATGATAAAGTTGCAGCAAGGTTCTAGATTGAGAGAATCAGAGAGAGAGGAATCTGGAATTCTTCAGTTGCCCCTAGAGGAAAGAGTTAAGAGGATTAAGCGTGGTTCTTGGGGGTGAGAGAGATTGAAGTAGAAGATGAGTATGTTCGAGATTTTTTTGAAGTGTCGTGAGAGAATGGAATCGATCTTTTTTCTGGTTTGTTTTTCACTGTTATGATTTTTTTGCTCTAAAACCATTGTATCCTCTCCTCCTCCCATTTTTTGTTATTTCTCTGTTAAGAAGCAGTTAGAAGGGTCAGAGGTTTTTATGGCTGTTAGTTTTGGTTGGGAATTGCTATCTTTGTTATATTTAGTTAGTTTGGTATTTGTTAGATACAGTTAGGAAATTTGCTAAGAGCCTGTTATGAAATCAGTTTCTGTTTTAAATGTTGATTGGAAGTTAGTTACAGGCGGTTAAGAGGTTAGAAAGTTGGTTAGAATTTTGTTAGAGTTAGTTTTTTAGATTAGAAATTGTTAGAAATCAGTTTTTGTTTTCTGTTATGACAGTAATGGACTGGGTTTTTTGATGAACTATTTTTTGGGTATTTTTGCAGGGTCCTTTTTATAACAAAGAAAGGAGGTGCTCGGAATCATGACCATCAATCAAATTGGACTACCCATCCTTTTCACCAAAATCTTTGTCCTGCATCCGTTGCTGAGATGATGAGCCACTTTCACTAACTTGTGACAGAATTGACTATTCGAGATCTTCACATGTAAGAACTGCGAGTAAAATCTCAGGTACCTCGCTCTTGTAAGATAGCTCATAGTTACTAATAGCGGTACATGTTACATTTGGTAAGTGCTCACCAGCAGGTTCAGGATTTTGGAAACCAGAATTTAGTGCAACATGATGGGTTGTCTCTTCATTGGAAACCTGCAGCCCACCCTTTTCACCGCCAATAATAAGCGAGAGCAGGTCATTTGGCTTAGGTGTCAAGTCATCCACTGACTTCTTTTCTTCTCCAGCAAACCGATGAGCAAACTTCGAAGTTTGGAAGGCATTTGGACTCCATGTCTCATATGCTTTATGATCAGACTGCTCAACAATACTAGTAGATATGCCACTGGTTAGCATTGAAGCATTACCAAAAAGCTTGTATAGGATAGACTCATAACTCTTAGGAATGAAAGATGCTCCTATGGCCTCCTTTCCTTTCACTTCATCCTTAAGTGGAGTAAATGCATTGTCATCTGATGCTTCCAAAGCTTCTGAAAGAGCGGATCTCTTTCTTAGTTAATCATTAATTCTAATCTTAATGTTGGGGATATCCATAGAAGATGATGAATTAAAAGTATTTTCTTTCTCATTGTTTATTGAAACATTTATATCTTCCCTTTGAAGATTTTGTTGATTGTTATCCACTTGCATGGTTGATAAGTTTCCTTCTTTACTTTCAGGATTTATACTGGATACATGGCTACCTCGAGTATCTCCAAGCTCAGGTTTCCCAGCCTCTTCTACATGAGTGTTGGGGGATATTTTGGTACCCATATTTCTTTCCAACATTGTGTTTGCAAAACCATGGGGTACAAGTGGTCTTGCTGAAGCATGTGAATGGGGAGAAGATTTCTCATCGTTGCTTAAAGCTGCTAAAGTCAAAGAAGGCTCCATTGACTCATTGCTTCCAGCAACTAGCCTCTTTGAACTATCGTTGATAAGTGAAGAAAGGTCGAAATCCACTTTATTCTTGTCTGGATTCATCTTAAGCTTTTCAGTTTGCTCTTTTCTCATCAATTCGAAAGAGGCTCTTCTCTCTTTTTCTGTTTTTCTTTGGTTATTGATGAATGCAGATCCGGAATTTGGTCGTAGACTTGTGATGCTTAATTGCTTTTGTTTATGACTGTTTTTGAATATTTAGTGTAAATTTTTGTTTTGATTTAGTAATTTTGGATGTAAATGGCCTTTGTAATTTTCTCTTGTAATGCTCCAATAACATAGCTTGTAAATTGCATGGTTATGATCGAGAATGAAGTTGGATAATATTTTGACAAATCATGCGTGATGTTTAGAACTTGTAAAGTTCATATCATTGAATGAACGTGAACCCTTGGATCTTGATAAGTTTTGATGAACAAAACTAAATGAATAACCTTGAATGATGTCATGACTTGTAATTCTTTGCAAATTCGTAACTTGTACACCAAGAGAACCATATGAACGAATCTTCTAACTTCATCTTGAATCAACCATTGCCAAATCATGAAATTGGGACCTTGAGCTAATATTAATCTTGAGCACAATTAGTAGTTTCAATGAATCCAGATCACTAGTCATTTCCCTCAATAGTCCAAGTTAACTTGCAATTGAAGTAACAAATATTTGATGAGAACCAAAAATTGTATCATTCAAAACAAGTCCATGATGTTGAAGAAGGAGAACCCAAGATAACCACAAAATTGAGCCCTACTCCAATGATCTCAAATTGAAGCATAACAGAAGAAAACCCTAATTCTTAAGCATTGAAGAAAGATCACAACCTGATGCTGAGGAGAGAGAATATCCCTAATTCCTCGAAATCCCTGATTTCAAGTCGAACTATCAACTAATGATGCATGATGAGTCAGATGACCTAATGAAGGTTATGTACCTCAATCTCAATTAAATCCATAGATTCTAGCCACCTTCCATTTGAAGCGACCAACCACCATTCAGAGAGAGAAACCCTAATGCCAAAGCTCTTTGATCTTATAACCATGAGGCCAATGCTATGTGCGAAATGTATGAAGTATAATGAGGGATCTTAGGGACAAAATTAGGGTACAACAGGGAGGACCTAGGTAAAAGTAGCATTGGGTAGGGATTAGGCAAGAAGTTGTAAACTTGAGACTAGTTTAGCTTTGAACTAATACTGCTTATAGTGGACTTCCTTCCTGGCTTGGTAGCCACCAGAGTAGGTGAGTTAGCACTAAACTGGGTTAACATACCGATGCCTTCTATATCTTTCTTTTGTTTTAGTTTCTACTAAAAACTTGTTCACGATGTCAGAACAGATGTTGTAACATTTGTCTTGACATTGTTCTGATGTTGGAATTTAAGTATTTCCGTGAGTTACGCGTACCAGAAAAATTTCACGTCTTTACTTGTATTTGTTCATAGAGCCACCAGGGTTCTCTTTGACATGAAAAACCCGTTTACATTCTACAACAATATTTCCAGTGGGTAGAGAAGTTAGAGTCCAAGTGTTGTTTGTCATAAGAGAATTATACTCAGTTTCCCTTGCTTGATTCCATTGAGGTGAGGTAAGGGATTGTTTCACAGTGGTAGGTTCTATGATGGGTAAGAGCAGGGTAGGAAACTGATAAGGTCTAGGATTTCCAGTTTTGGAACAGGTCATCATAAAATGGTCATTAATGGGAGAGGGTGGTGATGGGCTTGGGGTAGGGGAATTGGGATCAATTGTGTCATAGGCTGTAGATGGTTGAGAGGTGGAGTTGTGGCTATTAGTGAGGTTAATAGGTCTCTGGTGAGATGTGAGTATATTTGAGGTGCGGAAGCTGGGATTGGGTTTGGGCTAATGGTGGGATAAATTATATAGGAACAAGAGACACGCCTCTAAGAGGAGACATGGAGGGTATGGAGGAGGGTACAGGGTTGGACTACGAAGGTAGTTTTAGATAGTTAAAGAGAAATACAGACTCATTGAGCAACACATCATTAGAGATGAATAACCTTCCAGATACATCAAGACATTTATAGCCTTTATGAGATGGTGAATAGCCAAGAAAAGTACACTTTGAGGACCTGAAATGCATTTTATGATTGTTGTAGGGTCTAAGTAATGGAAAACAGGAAAAACCAAATACTTTTAGAAAAGCATAGTTCGGAGGTGTTTTAAAAAAAACTTTGACATGGATCACATTAGTGTGTGAGGTAGGAAACTTGATAATTAGATAAATTGCATTATGAAATGCATGATGTCAAAAATGATAGGGAAGAGAAGCTTGAGACAACAAATACAAACCTTTCTCAACAACATCTCTATGCTTTCTTTCAACAACCTCATCCTGATGGTGAGTGTAAGGCCAAATAGGCCGGTGGATAATGCCTAGATCAGCTAGGAATTGTTTGAAAGGTATAAACTCACTCCCCCCCCCCCTTAATCTGTTTGTATGACCTTTAGCTTAGTTTTTAATTGAAGCTCAACCAGACTCTTAAGTTCCTTAAATTTAGACAATGTTTCATCCTTTATATTTAGAAAATATATCCATGTATGACGACTGAAGACATCAATAAAGGACACATAATACTTATACCCCATAGAAGACACCATTGGTGTTGGACCCTACAAATCACATTATACAAGTTGAAGAGGCTCAGTATATACAGTTTTAGAAGGCTGGGAAGGTAACCTGTGAGACTTTCTCATGCAACAAGCAACACAAAAGTCAATATTATTTCGTGGAATAGTAGTGAGATTACACATCT